AACTGATTAAAAATGAATTCGGGGCGTTTGTGCGTGCGTACGTATTTCTCATAAATCAAAAACGAATAGCCTCAGATGTTGAGATTTTGTATATAGGACTGTTATAACATGCAGATGTGCACCTCGTATTTTGGTTGTAATCGGCCGCAACAAAAGTATATAAATATATGCATATATATATCCACTCTGTTACTCGACTCAGTGATCTCAGTTTCTTTATTTATGTATGTTTGTAAATTGTGCAGTTTTTGCTTTAAAATGATTGAATTATGTTGTTCTTGTCTTCCGGTTAAGGTTTTTATGCCTTTTGTAAATCTGCACGCAATATCTGTAGAATTATCAACAATTTAAAAGTTGTTTAAGTGCGGTTATGCCTAATTATTTTTACCATGGAGGCCATGTATGTTTATATTTGAAACTTGGCAGAATAGTGAATTCCAATAATTGCCAATCTAGAGTAACTAAGCTTCGCAACAACAAATATAACTCCTTCTTTCATTATTACGAATTAAATCATGTTGAATCCATTTTGGAATGTATTCGAGGAAATAAGTGTTTAAGATTTACTTCGTAATTTTCAAAATAGATATTTTGAGTTTTTGTGTATTTTAGCCTTGTAGCGAAGTGAGGACTGGGTTAAATGAATGAGAAAATGAGAAATACTGAATCGTTTGTGAAATTTTTTCGGAATAAAAAATCCTTTATTCTATCCATGAACGTCACGCAAGAATTAATCAATATGGATTTGGGAATGGGCAAAATGAATTTTTTTGTTCAAATCTTAAAACCAAAATCTTTCGCGAATGCAATACTTAACGAAACGTACTTCGTACGATAAAGAAAAAAACTAAGTACCATATACGTGGCAATTATACAATTTTAAGTTATAGTTTCGTTTTATATCAATTAAAAGGCATTAAGTTTGCTTGTTTTGATTGGTATCTGAAAATTAATTTCTTAAAATTGATCAAAAGTCATTACTTTATAAGTTATGAAATACAATTAATTTAAGTAATGTATATTTGATAACATTATCGTTCTTTAATAATTCAATTTAGAGTTTGTGTATTAACTTTTGAAACAGCTCATTTAAATACAATGCGAAATGAAAAAAGATATTAAATCTTCATTACGTGTGTTAACTTAAAATATTTATGCTACAACTGCTTCCTATAAAAATGGAGTTTAATGGTTATAGGAATACAGAATAGGCAAATCTGCACGAAAGTCAATTAATTCTACTGAACTTTGATAAAAAAATTTTCCTCTCGGAAACAAATATTTTCCAACATAAATATAATTTTTGATTGTAAGATAACATAGATTTTTTTTATTAAACTCAGAAGACTTTTTGCGGAGGTCCTGAAAGGCTGAATGTCTTGAAGCATCTTGCCGGCTCCAAAGAGGCTGTGCTATATTGATTTGACTTATAAAATTATAAGGTACTTCTTCGGCCTTCTAAGCATGCCTTCGTAGTGTAGTGGTCTGCACGCTAGCCGCTTATTCCAGAGGTCCGTGGTTCGATTCACAGCGAAGGCGTTGCTCATTTTTCAAGTCTCCTGCTTCAAAAAAAAAAAAAAATTACCCAATGTCACTTCAGTAGCGTCCGAACTAAAAGGGTGATGATGGATAATGATTCTCCGAATCCAGGATTTAAGGTATTTCTCCGGCTTTCTTAGCATGCCTTCGTAGTGTAGTGGTCTGCAGGCTGGCCGCTTATTCCAGGCGTCCGTGGTTCGATTCCCGGCGAAGGCATTGCTCATTTTTCATCTCTTCAGCTTCGAAATAACCTAATGTCCCTACAAAATGTTATCGTGACTCCGATCAGCTACTGCTAAGTAATTCTGGTACGTTTCAGTCAACAGTTTTTGGCATTTCGACAATTTCCTCAAAATCCACTGACACAACGCTGATACGCAGGAGTAAAAGACAACTAGATCAATTTCTGAAGAAAAATGGATTCCGTGTTAGAGAGACAAATAACAAAGGCATCGGACAGTTTTGCACTTCGGAATTGTTAATCTTCTAACTCTGTGAGAGAATATTTGCAATACCTCACAATGTTTTACAGAGAATTATATTCATGCTGGCAAATTGCGATTTAAATTATAATTTACTTTTTAAAATCTATTTAGCTACATTTTTATTTGATAATTTTCATCAGCAAAAAAAATTGAGTTTTTTTCACGTAATCCTCCATTAATTAAATACAATTATTCCAGCTTTTAAGCCCTCCTCTTCGTTTTCTCCTCTATCTACTTATTTAAGGTAAAGTTAAACTTTCAAATTGAATACTCTGTAAAGAGACTTTTCAAATGTGGAACTCAAATACTTCTCGCAGTTTTCACACCCTTTTTCTACAAAAAGTAAATGATTCCTTGTCTTCAATAGTTGCAAAAAAAGTGCTACGTAAGCCCGTCTATATAGGTCAAACACCTAAATTGGACTAATCAATACTGCAAAGATAGCTCCATAACCATGTCAAAGCTGGTTTCTAGACGATACCGTGTTCTGTAAGTTCGAGGAATTAAGAGGTCTTGGAAGCCAAAAATTTTCAAAAGAATGGTGATTTGGGATTTTTGCATTTTCAAATTCTCTACACTTTAAGCTTTCTAAAATTACCATACTTTAATCTCTATGAAAATTACAACGGTAAAAATATAGTTTTAATTTATCGTCGGATGCTTTGATAAATGAGAATTTTTACAAAAAAAGGCACTTTTCTCTAAAATGAGCTTTTTGTGATAAACTAAGAAGAAACATTTTTACAGTTTCTTTTTTGTGAGAAAAGTGCAAAATTTTACTACGCTTAATATAATATTCTATAAATTATTCTAAAATTCTATTTACTCTAAAACAATGTTTCAGAAGCTCATTTCGATGTAATCAGATAAGTGTACTTTAATAACACAAAAAAATTCATACATGTATCTAAAGCAGTTTTGAGAAAAGCTATGGAAAGCGGCCAATTTAACATTGTCGGCATAGGGGGTTCTCAGTCCCCTTAAATTAGAGATCAGTTCCTAGCACTTTGAAAACACCCTATGCACAACCTCAACGCCTTTTAAATTAGATCTTAAAGATGTTTCTTTTTTTTTCCTCACTCCCCAATAACTGTTAACGATATATTGAATACACTGATATATTTCAAAATGGCAACTTTTCTGAAATTTCAGTCCTATTTATCTCTTCAACGGTTGAGGTTCAGTGGTTCCTTTGTCCCCAGTGAGATGCGTAACAGGAATGCCAACTGAGTTTGTTTATGGCCACCAGAACGTTAAAGGAATTGTCAAATTTTGCACTTTATCCATGGTTATTGTGGAATACTAGTTAAATAAATAACCAATTGGCTGTGAGAAAAGGCACAGAGATTTTTTAGACCAGAGAGAGGATCTCGTTTCCCATCATTAATGCTCCAGAGGAAACCCGTAAGACAGACATTTTGAAAACAAAAACGCGTCACATTATACCGAGGTATAAAAGATTCATCCATTTCAGAATGCTATGTCTTCAAAAGTATTACACATACACATATGAGTGATATTTAAAAATAAAAGCAAACTCACCAAGTTTGTATACCAATACTGTGACTGGCGAAAGTTACCTATAGGTATTGAAGTTGTGGTTGCTTCCATAACTGCCTACTGATTCAAGAGATTTTGTCTTCCAACAGGACTGGAGCTCTCTCACTGGAACATTCAAGTTCGCACTGAACGATGAGCAGAGATATGAACACTGGAACGACGAACATCTTAGAATGCTTGTGTTGGTGAGGATGACCTAGCTTTGGTCTCTTGACTCCCTAGGTCACATGGTATAATGCCTTGTGACTTCTTCATTTGGGGGCACATTGACGACCTTTTTTATGTACCCTCACTACTAAAAGAATTACGAAAGTTCAATGCTGCAGTAATGATCATTGCCAGGGTATCGCTACAAAATATGTGAAACGAAATGGAAATATGTCGTGTGTCCCAAGGTATAGAGTGTGCAGAAACCTTAATGCGTTTGCTATTATTTTCATATATCAATCATATTTATACGTGTAATGCATTTGAATACGTAGCGATTTGAAAATGAATGAATCTTTTAAATAGTAGTCCAATATTTTAATCATATTGCTTACATAAATTCTGTACAGTGCCACGAAAGCATAAAACATTAAAAAAATCAGGTAATTTTGCGTAGGGAGAATTTAAATAAAGCCACACATTTTATAAGGACTCCAATTAGCAATTTCCTTTCATACCTAAATTATATTATCAATTTAAAGTAAAAACATCTCTAACGTGGGCAGCAATACAGCTTTCTCCTGTAATTAGACAAACTTTCGACAACGGTTTCTGGAATTTCCATAGTTTACTTGGTTAGTCCTAATCGATGTGCCCACTAAAATAGATATTTTGGTTTTATATGCATTAGTTTTTATATTTAGTCATCTTTTTAAGCATTAAAAATGTATTCATAAATTAAAATGCAGACATACAAAATTTCTAAAATTTTGATATGGTCTAAAGATGTTCATTAAATGGAGAGGTATGACGCTGACTAACAGTTAACACTGAATCCATCTTACCACTATATTAATGTTTTTGTCCTCATGTAGTATCAATAACTTCATAATGCACATTAAAAATGACTTCCATGCGTTTAAAAATAAAAACTTAATAAATGTTTAGAAATTTCATTATTTGCTTAAAGAAACATATACTGCATTATATTTTAATTTTTCTTGAAGCATTTTTATCATAGATATTGAACTGTAATTTATTCTAATAGTCTCACAATTTAGAGACTGTTATGATTATTAGCGTGCAAGTACACTTGTTTGAGTTCTCGTGATATTTTAGAGTACTTTACATATCTAGATAATGAAGATATGCATCAGTTTGTTGTATCTAATATTCTTATTATTATCGCAGTTAATAACATGTTAATATTTTTGCCATTTAAAACCAATATATGCTTGAGCTGTTCAGTCAAACACAAAAATATACAAAACGAAATAATCTTTATTTTTAATTTCCTCATTATTAGTTTAAGTAACAGTACACAGAGAGTATTCACCACAAATTTTCTCTACAGATATTTATGAGGATATGAATACTAAGAACATAAACAAAAACTAAAATATAACATTACGGTTATTTTCATCATGTATTATTACTTTAAGATACATTACACTGTACTTATATAAAGATAAGTAAATGTTTCTGCAAGTTGTATAAAGACAGGCATGTATTATTCAAGTAACTTCATTTGTACACGACAATGAAGAGTTCCATTTTTCTGAATTACTAATAAATATTTGAGCATTTAAATTCTTGTGTACCTATCAACTACGTTTTAAAAGAATACAACTTACAAATGATTTCATTATTACCATACACATACTTTTAATACATAGACTAAAGTAACTAGCATTAATTTCTCCACATATTCACGAAAACGTAACATTTGAGCTCACATCATTAAGCACATTTATGTGTTTCTGCTTGCAGCTCTCTCTTTTCAATCAGAATCTCACTAACATTTAAAGAGATGAAACGTTTATATTATAAATGAATACAATTTACACATGAAAACTTTTAACGGCTTGAAATAATTCTATGAGATATTTTAACAACGTATCACAGAGATCAACAAAAGTACTAAATAATGCTAAATACTCAGCTACACACTTTTTATGTTTTGTAGTTTACACACGTAATTATGTCATCCAAAACACACTTCTAATATTTTACAATATCTGAATATTTAAATGCATCAGGAATGTTATAGGATATGATATGAATTTCATATCTCATTTAACTAAACGATATTTCAGATTTACACACTTTCTTGACGTTAAATTTCAACTTGAAAGATGTAGAATGTTCGAAGTTCTATAGCAGTTATGCATAACATCATATTAAGAGCGACTTCATGATTCATTCGTATTTCATTTCATCGAATCTTTCCACAAAGTAAACGTTGGAATGATTTTCTGAAGTCAGTATTGAAAACTGTGTATATAACAGGATTAAGAGCTGAATTCATGTAACCAAGCCAGGTGATGAAATTTACCATATCATTCGAGATGTAACAGCTTTCACAAAACGGTAATATTACGTACATAGTAAAGAAAGGTAACCAGCACAGTACGAAGACGCCCATAACGATACCCAATATCTGAGCTGCTCTTCTTTCCTTTTGCAAGCATATACGTTCCTTCTGTTCCATGTAACTTCTGACTGTTACAACAACTTCGGTGGTGACTTTATTGTTAGCATTTTCAGTTTTCCCATTACCTTGGTGATTAAAATCTGATTCTTGAGTATCCTTAGTAACTGGTTCTTGGGGTGTTGATGATTTTTCTTCTAGTTCTATGGAGGATGAATTGCAATTTAGACTGGAGGCATCTGTTTTAGTTTCACGGCTAGACACATCAGAGGAGACGGTCTTGACAGGAAGCGTTAATGATTTTGCCGAAGATGATGTCGTATTTCCGTCTTTTTTTAGAATATTCGCAGCAGCTTTTGCTTTAACCCGTATCCTGTTCCTCGCGGTTTGAAATATCTTAATGTAAACGACCGTCATGATGACCAAAGGTATGAAGAATGATCCACTGGCGGAGTAAATGACGTATCCCCTCTCTTCGGTCAACTGGCATGGTGTATCCGAAGTGAAGGTTTCAGGCCAGTCGTTCCAGCCAATCAAAGGAGGTACAGATATCAGTGTGCTTATGACCCACACGCTAAAAATCATACACAAGACTCTATTCAGTGTCCTCTTTTGCGCGTAGTTAATGGGGTCATGAATAGCCCAGTAGCGATCGAGGGCTATTGCGCAGAGGTTGAGAATGGATGCCGTGCAACACAGGACATCGCAAGTTAACCACAGCTCACAAATATGTAATCCGAAGATCCACTTTCCTAAAATCGAATAAGCTACATTAAAAGGCATCACGAATATAGCTACGGCTATATCTGCCGCTGCCAGTGAAACCAAGAATATGTTTTGTACGTTTCGCAAAGGTTTGTACGTGAAGACCGAGAGTATAACTAGGATATTTCCTAGCACTGTTCCTATCATAATCACGCCAAGGGCTACGGCAGTTCCAATAGCTTGAAGCACGGAAACATTAATATCTTCTACATAGTTGAATGTGCCGTTATCTTCAGCGACAGATAAGGCATCACCAGAAATGTTAGGCACAACACTAAAATTAGAGTTAACACTTTTGAAGAAATCAAGGCTTGATATGGTATTGTTATTTTTGTTATCGTCCAGAGTGGCGTTGACGTCATCTTTCTCAAATGTAACGTCCCACATGATAGTCACGAAGTTTTTGGAGACTTTTTATCTTTTATTTTATTTTTTTCCCATTCTTTCTAGTAAATCAAAGAGTTCATTCCCGCCTGATTCATTCATCAGAAAGGATTTATTTCCAAGGAGATACTTCTCAGATCCCATCGGTGAAGATTTATCGCTACCCATCATATTGGACCTGTCAAAAGAAAAAGAAAAAGATAAGTAAAACAGTAGGTTTAATAAAGAGTAACTTCAGCTATTCTCTTTTCAAATTTATATTTCCGAAGTACCATAACTTCACACTTTTCACTTTCAGATATCTTATTGCGCAGGGAGGGATTTCTTCAGAAATATATTTAAAAATATCTTCCGCTTTAATGAGCAGTTCGATGGAGTAAACGCTTGAATTTTTTCAAGGCTTTGAAAATATATACATTTTCTTTCCATCCAGAAAGGAAGACAGTTGACTTATTATAACTTATTCTTTAAATGACAACTATTAATGCAATAATTTTCCCAAGTAATCCTAAGATTTTTTCACTGAATTTTAATTAATTTTAATATTAAATTGTTCCTTTTTATGAGTCTTTTTAGAGTTTTTGTGTAACAATGTAGAACTTATACGAAAATTTAAATAACAGTTATGAAATTTCACTTCACAGTAGAATCATAAATGTATAATGACATCCAAATTTGTTACTTACATTTTTAATGGCATTATTGCTCTAACGCTTACTAAAAGTACTTAGATTTTGCAAAGAAATGGCAACAGCTTTACAAAAAAGTGTTTTTTAATATATTATCCACTTCACAATTAGTTTACTTCAAAAATTATGTATTAAATGTTAAGAAAATTAAAAATTAAAAAATGGTGTATGGTACGGGTAACTAAGGCTAATGTAAATTATAGAAGCGGAAATTCTTAAAAACTCATATATTTGCAAGTTAAATCTAGTTATTCTTATGCAAGATAATATCAGTTGCTAAAATGGAACATAATCTTATTTTATTTCGTAGCTCATTTTCATAATAGAAGGAGAGTAAAGTGTAATATCCTATTCTAACTTTTAATCAAAAAGAACATTGCTTTACCATTACTAAAATGCTTTTCTTAACGTTTTTTCTGAAAGTTTTAGTGACGGAAAATGGTATCTTTACTATTTGAATATATAGCATTTTAGGGTTGGAAATGTATCTCAACTACATGATTGAAAATGATTGATGAAGATGATACAGAGTCATTATTAATTACAAGAAAGATCGTACTAAACACCATTTAAGCCGCAGGATTTTGATAAACAATATCTTACACTAGAAAAGCAATAAATACATTACATTATACTATTAGCAAAAAAATACATTACATAATACTACGTTACATTCCTTGCACTCGTAATAACTCATTTGCCGTTTTGGAGGATTTTTCCGGGAATGTGAACAAACGAAGCATCGTCGTCTCATTTTCTTATCAGTCTCTTCTGATAAAATTTTGGAAAATGTCTTTCAGTTAATCTTTCAGAATCAATAACAGAATATCAGAATTTCAGAATCAATATCTGAAATATTTTGCATCATTTCTGCTATTTCATGCTCTGTTAAACATTTTCGACGCTTCGACATTGCAACGGTAAAAACGGAAAGAATTCACGTCTAACAAGATCTAATTATTTTCTGAAAACTGAACTGCAAACCGAAATACCCAACGCTTTACCGAAAATAAAACTTCTCTACTTACAATAAACAACTACCACGTGTGAATTTAAAGAGACGTCATAAATCACGCCATTCGGAAACAGTTATTTCCCCTTTTGTTATATAATCAAAAACACGTGTATGTGAGTCATGCTTCTCTCATTTCGAGTAGAAGGTCTAATGTACATGTATCTGAAACCATATGGACATACAGTGCCATCTTGTGGCAGAAATTATAGTTTTTAAAAAGTTTCAGGACACTGACACAAATACGTGACAGTCGGGGCTGAACGGGAAAACACTCTGGCACGCCTGCGCGTCGGCCGGGAAGTGAGTGTGTTCGTTGCTGGCACGTAGACGTGACAGTCAGCGCGAAGAAGGGGTTAAACACGCTATTAAGAAATAACTACAAAACTTTTCGAATATTAGTATTTCAACCGCAGCAATTAAGATCACATTTGATATAATAGCAACTTTGCGTACTGCTCGCTTTTTAAATGAAACTGCATGAATAATAGAGATGGTATATGTTAAATCTTATACGAAAATCCATAATATTTTAATATTTAGTTTAAATAATGAGAGAATTTGAAAAAATCATTTAAAGGTTTTTTATTTTAATATGAAACTAATATACTGAATAATGTTAGGATGCGTGTTTCATTTGTTTTCTTCTCTTTCATTGTCTAAATGAATAGCATGGAGACTAAGACTTGTTTCCAGTACAAGAAAATAATATAATACTTGCATCGTGCATGCTTGCATTTGTCATAAATGTTACTGTCCGTTAGTGTGCTGTCGTCAAAAAACCCATATGTCAGAAAAAGCGTCTAAATATACAGGAATACATGAATAAAATGCTCCACTGTGTAAGATATCCACTATGTAAGATAAATATATATTCTGCAATAATGTATTACAAGATTTACGAAATTGAAAAATGTAATTGGCAGTTGCTAATATTGAGAAGCTTAACATTATCATCTATATTCTTTATATTATGTAAGCGGCTAAAGTGTGTGTCGCCGATAGTTTATTGTTGCCACTCGGAAAAATGAGTGCGGAAATTAACGTTTTCGCAGATTTTAATTAATATCTCGGGCCGATTAATTTAAGTGAACGTTACGAAGATTGGAGGAACGCGTTTTTATCGCGGTTTCGGAGGAGAAAAAAGATTTGGACGTAAATCGTCTAATAGGGACAACCCAAGAAAGAAGAGGAAAATTTGGGAAAACGTAGGGAAAATTCGTTTGTAATTAATATCTCGGCTAAGAAAGTCCTAGGATGAAGATCGCGAATGGTCAAAATGGCCATGCCGCTGACCTGCGGTATCCCTAAGTCGGAGCCAGCCGTTTCGGTCGGGGAGATATATCACTTCACCCCATGTTGTACTTCACACATGCGACTAAGTACTGTTTGTCGCCGATATTTTAGTGTTGCTTGCGTATCTTTCCTGGCAATGGGGTGAAGTTGCCACGGCACATTTTGTCCGTTTCATTGAGACGTAACAATTCCGTAAAAACTGCCTTTGCTAGGACCATCATAGTTTCAGGGTCAACCTTAAGGCGTGTTGGCATTTTTTTTTTTTACCTAGCCTGCATTTGGACCACGGTCAACTTGATGTTGTCTGTTCAAGAATTCGTGAAAGAACTTAAATTAAACGTAAACTAACGTAAAATTAAAATAATTTATTGTCCTTGCAAGGCGAGCTTACAAAACTGATGGAAAGATCTACACAGAAATTTTTTGTGTACAAGAGATCTTTTATGTGATAATATTTTTATTATTTAAATCACCTTATTTTTGATTTAGCTTGGCTTTAAGAAATGTCCACCAGGCTTCTTATTGCACGCTACTTAAACAATTTAAAGGAAGTAAGGGGGAAACGCCGTGGGGCAGTAAGCAAAGACCGTCTCAAACCGCCTACCAGGGTTTCAGTTTAATTAGCACACACCTTTGCCAAATCCTTTTAATTACAATTTTTATAATCTAGAACAGCGGTCTTTTCATATGACCGCCGGGCTTTCTAGTATATAAAGCCGGATAAGTGTTGTCGCCGATAGTTTTATGGTTGCTTGCGAACTGTAAAAGTTTTATTGACCGTGCAGTGGCAGCGCGTGACGAAATTATTTGAAAACCTAAGCCGGAAAAAATTTAAAAACAAAACGCGCATTAACATTTAATAAATAATTGAACTTCTATATATAATAATAATTCGGAATTTCAACCGGCAAAAAACCAGCACGATGAAAAACACAAACAAAATGAAAATAAATACATATTTCATTAAGTGAGGTCCTGTTGTCGCCGATATTTTTATTGTTGTTGCTTGCGAACTGTACTAGCCAATGGGGTAAAGTGCAACGGCACAGGGTTGCTGTTTCATTTGAGACGCAGACAATTCCCGTAAACTTGCCTTTTCCTATGTCCATCAATAAAGTCTCAGGGCCAACGCTTAGCGTTTGGCATTTTTTACCTGAGCCTGCATTGGACACGGTCAACTTTTGTGCCCTGTTCAAGAGTTCGTGAAAGAAAGAATTTACGCAAGAGCTTAAAAAAGTGATAGAAAATCTACACAAAAAATAATGTGTACAAAGAGAGATCTTGACATGTGATTAACATTTTATTATTTAAATCACCTTTATTTAGTGAGTTAGTGATGGCTCTTAAGAAATGTACCGCCAGTGGTTTCCTTCATTGCAACTCTAAGCAATTAAGCAAATAGAAGGGAGAAACCCTGTGGGGCTGTAAACAAAGGGACGTCCTCGCCGCCTGAACTGGGTAATTCAGTTTGAATTAGCAGGCGCCTTTGCACAAATCATTTTAATTACAATTTATAATATCTAGAACGCTAGACTTTCTAGTTGCGCATAAGCATGATCAAGCTCGCCCAGTATCAATAAAACAGACCACTATCAGTTTGAAGTAGAATAAAATCGCATATTTTGATTTCATAATGAACATAGCAATTCCTCTTTTAATAATATTTCGGATTATTTTCGAAGTATCATGCATGCAAATTTTATTCTTTTTATTACAAATCTATAATTTTCATTACCTGATACAGACTTGCGAAAATTGACTTCAAATGGAATCCAATTTATAATTTTTCTTTGAATTACATGTACAGTATATGTGTGGTACCCCTTTCGGAAGAGATATTACAGAGGTTCACCTTTTTTATAAGTCCAAACGCGCTTTTAGTCTCGAAAAACGATTTTGCAATGATCCAGTTTAAATGCTATGTTTCACGTACATATATTAAACTACATATCACTTTTAAATACTATACATATTACTTATATTTCAGATCACTTATATGCATTATATCTATCATTTATATATTGTATATATATATATATCACTTATTTCTCTTATATGTATATTCATTTGTATATATTATTGCTTCATCTACATATATTATATTGTTTTTCACGTTTGAATACTTTTAAAAAAAATTACTATTCGATTAGAAAGTCATTTATCACAAATAGGAATCG